AAAAATCTTTAAAAAAAACAAAAAAACAAAAATAAAAAATCATCCCCAGAGCACCTGCCCAAGATCTCAGGATGCTCTAATCTGCCCCTAGATGCGTTCCAGCTGCCCCGAAATGCTCATCCTGCCTATACCTCACCTCACCCTCACTCTGCCACCTTCCCGTAAGTGCCATCAGATGCCCTCCTGCCACCTGATCCACAGCTGGACCGTGGGAGAATTACGGCGTACCCACACAGAAACCCAATACCCCACACATGCACCAGAGTCGCTGGAAGCGATGTTAGAAGTACATGCTTCAAAACAAGAGATAAAGCCACAGAAGAGGGGCAAGCCTGGCTAAGCCAGACCTCCCACCCACCTCCAGGCCTCACCTGCAGAAGGCATCTCCTGCTCGAATCACCACCACCGGTAGGCCTTCCGTGCACTTCACACACTTCAGTTCACGCCTTTCGAGACATGACGGGGGGAGGGTAGAACACAGATTGCAGACCTCCCTCCAGCGGGCTTTGGGGAGGTGGCACTGCGATTCTCATCCCAACTGGTGTATGGGAAGCTCATGCGAGCAGCTGCACACACACCAACCAAGGCTTTTGTCTTATCCAAACTACCGATACGAAAAAAGACAAGGGCCGTGGGGGGATTGGAGTCTGCTTAAACCACCCGAGCAAGCACATAAAGGCCACCTGTCAGTCTCTCAAGTGCCGGCATACCTGGAGGAACAACCTGTGCGAATCGGGAGGGGAGAGATGGAAGCAGCGGGAGGAAGGGACCAGGAGGCCGACTCCTCTTGGACTGAGGGCCCAAGCTGCAAGAATTACCAGCGCCAGAGCGCAGAGGCAGCCCCCTTCTGGGGCGTTCGCCCCCGGCTAGAGAAGCACCCCTGGGGTGCTGCGGAGCACGGTGCAGCCCCCACCGGGACCCCGGGGCTTCTGGGCCCCAGCCTCGGCGGTCTCCTGGATTCCGCGGCGCGGCGCCGGGGGCGAACCGCAAGGCGCGGGCCGGGCCCTCGGGGCAGGGCTTTGCCGCCGGCTCGGCGCCGGGAAGGAGAGGGGCGGGTGCGGACGCCCAGCTCTTACCCAGGCCGCAGTGGCGGCGGTCCCTCGGGCGCTGGGTCCCCGTAGTCCTCGCCAACCTGGCACATGCCTGCGCCCGGTCGCACGATAGTAAGCGCCGGCGGCGGGGAGACGCGCCCTAATAACGTCAGCGGGACGTCGTCGGGGCCGTGGCCAGCGGATTGGGGGCGGAACGCGCGCTTATGACGTCAGCGCCGCGGCGCCGCGGCCGTGACGAGCGGGGC